ACAATAGAAATGGATTCCATGTTAGCTGAAATTGATGCAATGTTAGCTGAAATTCAGAAATAAATTCCTCCCTTGTAGTTTGGTATTGCGGAAGATAAGCTGTTTAGGTGAAATTTTTTTTGGCAAATTTCAGCGAACAATGTTCGCCCAAAATCATGTACTTTTATTTTTTCGATTAAAGATACAGCATATTAATACAGACTATTTATGGCGCAGTCAAGAATTTTTAGTATAATAGAAGTATTAGAACAGATTTTACATTTCTTATTAATAGATAAAGCCCTCTACCCCGCTCTATATATTTCCCGATTGTGATACAGATGTGGTGTCCCTATCCTATGGAAACGTATTGAGTTAAAGGGAAAAGACTTATATCCTAGGCAATCTCTTCCAAATGATTATAATTACTGTGCAAAAGATTGCCCTCGATTTAATAAATTCATAAAGATAGAATGTGCAAAGAATATCTTTCAATTGAAAAAATTCATAAAATTAGTATGTGGGAAGCAAACGCTAGTTTATTGCTCAAATGTAACTCATCTCGAAATATCATACTACCATTCACTTTCAGATAAAAAATCATAAGTATTGTACATTCATGCCCAAATATAACCCATTTGAGTTTCATAAATAGCATAGAATTTAGTAATAGAGCATTAGAACTGATAGCGAGTTTATACCCAAATCTGAAGTATCTTAATCTGTGTGATGATCGGTCAGGTGGCTTTAGGGGCTTTCATGCTCGAGAAGTGGATAATGAAGGTTTATCTGCAATCGCAAATTCATGCCATAAATTAGAAAGTTTAAATATTTCTGGTTGTACAGAGTTTTCTGAAGTATCAATTTGTAATGTTATTCGTTCTTGCCCAAGGCTCCGGCAACTTGATCTTTGCTTTTGTGAAATTACTGATATAACTATCGAAAAAATTGCTAGATTGTGTCTTAATTTAAAATATCTTAAGCTGGAGGGGTGTTATAAAATTAGCAAAAAACAGTAGATCAGCTAAATCCAAATATCCACGTAAAGAATTTTGTGAAAACTCTAACGCCTCCTGATCTCATTGGAGTGTTTATAAATCATCTTACACAGAACAATGTTGCTAGTAGACAGACTCTAGCACAGAGCCTTCAGAATCTTTTAGATCTAAGTATTCGAGATAATTAGAATTCGGTTCTATCTCAGATATACCGGCGACCTAATTCCAATTCATATATAGCTTCACCGACTCAAGGTATTATTTCCACCTTAATGTCGAAAGCTGGTGATAGAATACTAGCCCATCAGGCAGAGTGGTACCATACTTTACCAATCTAGCTAGTCCAGAGCGATAATCATTAGTCAGAAGATTTTTTGCATCTAGATATGCTCTGTGTGACAAAAAATATAGATTAGCTAACTTGTTCTAGACATGAGCATTGACCAGCGCTAGCTGGATTTTTGACGAATATTTCGTGCAATTGTTGAGGAGAGACCTTCAGAAATAATGGAAGTCCTTTCCCGGTAAACCAAATTTTCTTTACTCCCACTTCGCCAAATTTCTCTAGTATCACATCTAGACCATCTTCTAAGGGACCATGGAATTCCTCAAACTTTCGAAGATATTCTCTTGCATTTTTATCAGCCTCTTCTGCCATTTCTTGATTAGTATAACCAACAATACCGAGTTTATCTTAAATTGCCACTACATCATCTTTTAAACATAAAAGCAAATTATATATTTGCCCATATGATATATCTGTGAAAGCCTCATTTTGATATTCTATTCTAGAACAGGATTACCATCAATGTTGAGATTCTCCTGTATCAGCATTAAATCCCCTACCAATTCTAACAACAGCTCATATGAATCAGCAAGTGTTTTCCCCATGAGTTCGGATTCTGGAGGCACTACTAATTTATTTGCATTGCCATTGATACCGAGTTTTTTCTGAATAGCTACTATATCCTTCTTCTTATATAAAAGCACTCCATAAAACTGAGCAAGTGTTTTGGTATTACTTGTCATGATTGCTATAATAAAGTAATATATTTAATGTGGAAAATTTTGAGTCCAGAATACAGATCATCATCACGGAGTAGTGATCATCAGCTCAGAAGAATTTGCTGATCCATGCGAAACGCTTACGGGCTAATGCATTGTACTCATGTGCGACAAAATAGGCTGATCACATAATAGGTCTGTGCGACATTTTCGCATATTTAATTTTGCATATATGTTCGCTAACCAATACCTTTATTTTTTTCCCGAACAAATGTGAGAAAAATGTGAAAGGAGGTCTAGTTGCAACACAGGTCCTTTCCTATAAGTTAATAGTGATGGCAAAAGCATATGTTATGAAAGGCTGGTGGACTCACAATTCCGAGATCGCTAGGCGTAAAGCCAACTATATGTTTTTCCGGTAGATCTACATGTAAAAAGGTATGAAGATTCCGTTTACATGTGCTTTCATGAAGCTCTTAGCATTAGACGACTAAACTAATTACCTCTCATATCTCCTTAATTTTTTCTGAGCAAGATATAAAGCATGTAGTGATATGTGGAAGTTTCCGTCTACCAATTTTCCCAAAGAAATAATGAAAATAAGGTATGTATATGCCAGAAGTTATGAATGTATGGGAGCGGTTTTTCTCACTATGGCTCTTGTATTTAGGAAAGCAAGATGTCTTCTACCTCCACTAAAGCTGACATGTTAAAAGAATATGAAACGGAAAGTCTTATCAAATTTTTGCAGGAAGATCCTAAATTAAGAGGCTTAGAACTTGACAATAGCTTTTTTACGAAGCTTCGTGATGAAGAAATCACTGGTAATTTATTTCTTAAGCTAACCGGATGGAAATTTAAGGAATATGGAATGACATTAAAACAAGCATTAAAACTTGAGGATTATATTAAGAAGCTGGGTGAGTGATTAATTTAGTCGAAAGCACTTTGCATAATGTTATAGCTGAAATTTAACTGTCATTACCTTTGGTAACAGGTGCTCGAGAAGCAAAAGAAGGTTTAGGGAAATATCTCACCTTCAAAAATAAATAGTATTGTTATGTATTGTAAGCCGGGTTTTAGCAATGTTTTTTATTTTATAAATAAAGTATTATTTTACCAGTACATGAGAAATTGGTCACATGTAATGCCTGTGTGATGTAAGATTTGCATATATATTCGCATTATTTTTTATTCTGATAAATGATCCTCATTTTTGAAATTGGAATATGTAAAGCAGGAGCTGAAGAATCTATTCTGAATCCTGCATATAGTTTGTGGCTAAAGGTTATGTTATCTGCTTTATAGATGTTTGAAATCAAAGCGGAGATAATATCTTTCTTGATCCTTGAATACTAATTTGCATATTCATTCAAGATTGCCTATCCTAATGAAGGTCAATTTCAGAATGTTGTTTCATTCGGGATCGGCAAATTAATCGACTAATAGGATTACCATATTTGTTTCAGAGACTTTCATGTTTTGTGACGATCATAGCCTTAACTGGGAGTATAGTAGTCTTTTTTTATTGATTTGCAATAGCTAATGAATGACAAAATGGTGTACGTAATTGCTAACGAGAATCTGGCAATATCTTTCTCCTGTACATATACTAGCGCTATATAAAACTGGCTAGTTGACGATGAGAGTTAAATCAACTGAATATGTCGGGCTTAGAATCAACCAAAGATCCTTCTTACCAAGTACCAGAGAGACCCCACTCATCTCTTACCATCTATAGAAACCTTGCCTATAATATCTTGAAGTATTGATCCAGCTCAGATGAAATGGTTAAGGATAAAGAAATTCTGGAACTAGAGCTGTGTTCCGAATGTACGAACAATATTCTGGGACTTCCTCTCAAAGCACTTACAATACTGTCATGTGGGCATCTGTTTCATAGAGTGTGTATCGAAAAGAAGCTTATGATTACCAGGCCAGACGTGTGTCCATTCCTTGATTGTGGGATGAAAGTTGATATCATATATCCAGTCTCTACCTCTGCTAGGAGAGGTTCACAATCATTTCAATCAAGTGGAACTTCGGCCTTATCTAATTTGATAGGCGAAAAGTTTAACCTATTTTCATCAATACCAGAAGATCCGATGGAGGAAGTCAAGGATACCTGCTCAGCCGAAGATAGTAGTAAGAAACGAACTAATACATCCACCGAAGAGTTAACTAGTAAGAAAAAGAAGACATCTGATAAGGAGGGCGATTCCGCTATGTTGAAAAAGCTTGTTAAGGAGCTAAAGGATGATAGTAACAATCAAGAATTGTCATTTCCCACCCAGTCACCTGAAGATAGTTATACTCATCTTTATAAAGAAATCGTTAAAGCCAAAACTCAAAATGATTCTGCTAGTCAAAGGGTTTTACTTTGTTACTTCCAATTTGGAAAGAAGATATACGAGCGCCTGGATTATTATAAGAATGAAAAAAAGTATCGTGATCGCATGGCCCAGAGTAAGGTAGATAAAGAAACTAAGGAGCAGTTGCCTGAGGGAGTTACTGATACTACTCGCTGGAAGCAAACAGAGAGAGCTCGAAAGATATATGAGCTATTTTTCGAAATTGGTGTTGATAAGATACAATGAGTTAAATCATATTTGGCACTAACAATTTCGAAGTTAAGTTGGAAAAAAATCGATTATATCATAGATAGCTTTAGAGAATAGTGAGACTATTACTGCGCCATATGATCACGTGACTTGCTGACCTCGCGGTCAGTAGGTTCATTTTATTTTTGTATGCCATTCAAAATAATAAAGTTCGCCTATATCCCGGGCAGCCTTTCTCATTTCTTTATTCATGTGTATCCTGTAAATGCTGTATGAGTACTTATCAAATAAAATGATACATATAATCATGAGGGATCTGCAAACTAATCTACATGCATATACCTTGGGTAAGGAAAATCATGTGACTGAAATTTCTGAGACCAGCCAATCATCTCGTGATTTATAGAAACTCGCCAGCGCCTAGAACTATCAAGGAACTGGCAGGGATTTAGGAGATCACATGTATACGTTATACGTCATGTCACAAACCAATTTATTAATTTTTATTAATTATATTTGCTTTCGTATTCTACTGCATCACACTTACAGGATACAAAATTTACTAACTAATATAGCTATTTACAGATATGAAAAAATTCTGCTTTAATACAGAATAGCAAACTATAAAATCACTCTTGATCCGGCTCATTATAATTAATAAAAATATTAATTATTTCAGCGCTTTGAGAAAATGAAGGTGTCACGGGTCTAGAACCAGAAAAAGGTGGTCTTGATACAGAGGGTGTTGTTGGACGCGATCTATTAGAAGAAGAAAATGCTCGAGAGATTCTCGATGACTGTAATCTTCTTGGTGTATTAGGTGATGATGATAGCGTTACTGTATTGGGATGCTGTTGTGCTTCTAGAAACAATAAAACATTTTTTAGTATATCTTTCGAATAAAAATATCACAATAAAGGCACAGTGTAAATACCGGAA